GGCTACAGGGCCTTGCAGGGGCCTCCAAGGGGCTCCAGGGGCGTCCAAGGGGCTCCAGGGGCCTCCAGGGGCCTTCGGGGGGTCCAGGGACGTCGAGGGGCCTTTAAAACCCCCAAAAACTTAGCAGAAACACCGCTTTGAACGAAAAATGCGCCCGCCGCGTACCGCCAAAGCCTCGAACCTTGGGCGAGGCTGAAATTTCATGCGGGATGGTCGGGCTGGACTAGGCCACCCACCATGGCCAGGGGGGGGGGTTGGTCAGGCTTTTAAAGGGACCTGAACGCCCTGAGGCTGGACAGCCTCGGCGAATTTGTTTAGGGTCTATAGAGCTGCGGCTTGGGGGTATTATTCCATCACAGTCCTTTCCATCTCGTGTTCCATTTGATTTTCGTTCTGCCTCTCCGTTGTTAACCCTGCACCCGAAGCCTTCAAACTCCAAGCCCCAATATAACCCCTTGTATCCCCTATATAACTAGCAAAACAGTTTTCAGGCTTAACTTGGATTTTGGCTGAAACTGGTCAAACAGACGAGAAGCTCGTGCGTAACGGTCGGTCAGTTTTCATGGTTATTATCATGACCTTAAAAGTGTGGCATGCCCCGGTGTCAAGTCCTGCGTTTTAAGGGCTAGGATGAAGACATGAATGGCGCAGAAAAGCAGACACAACGGTGTGGAAACGCAGCCCAGAAAGAATGGCGCAAGAATGTAGAAAAAGGGATGCAATGCAGCCCATAAAACAGTCCATTCCTAGACCCTCCTCCTACCCTCTATTCGGGCCTAAGTACCTACTATTAGGGACCGTATATCCCCAATTAAGGGTACAAGGAGGGTCCTGGTTGATATGGTGCAGAAATGCGAAATGCAGCCAGATTGGCGCCGCCATGCAGCCCATAAACAACACCCCGCCCATAACATAGGGTTTAGGGTTTTGGGCTTAGGGTTTAGTGTTTAGGGTGCTGATGCGAAAAAGTGCAGAATAGACCGGTGTCAATCCCTGCGTTGGGCGAACATGGATGTCAAATGATGTCGCCCTATCATTGGTTTCCGTTTCGCTTTTTCGTTTGATATTCCATTATCTCTTGCCGCATATACGCCGTATAGAATCCCTACATGGGACGTTGTCACTATTATTGCTTTTAAGGACCTTCAAAAAGAGGCCATGATTTTAAAAACCTACCCTGTAACCCCTACAAAGCCCTTGTAAAGGTATCCCTAATTTGGGAAACCCTACAGCCTAATCCCTAAAGCCTATCTACCCCCATATATCCCTTATATGTACATATATATATATATTTATACACCCTATTTCCCCTTAAGGGGATCCTTAGTATACCAAACTCCCGGCCTAGCTCATCGAGATGCTGACCACCTTCGCCAAGACCTGAACTTGGGCTATGATTGTTTAGGTTTCGGGTTTATTCCCATTACTTAGGGTTTGGAGTGGTCATTTTAGTTTTGATTTCTAAAATTGTAAAATTCAGGAAATTGGGGTAATGGTAAGTTTATATGGGCTTGAGGGTTCAGGACTTAGGGTTTAGAGTTTAGGGATTATTCATTGGACTTAGTAAGCCTAAACCCTAAAATCGAACGACTGGGGTATAAATTAAATCTACATATAACCGGGAATCCCTAAGAGGCCATGGCGGTGGATTGTGGGTTTAGGGTTCTAGCCCACAACTTGGGCGCGAATCCCGAAGGGTCCCATAGAAGGGGGCCCACAAATGGCTCTTTTTGGGTCCCCAAGTCAAAGGTAGGGTCCCGAGCAGGGCCCCCCACATAAAAACCCACAGAAGAAGGGAGCTAGGGTTTATTAAGGCAACATTCGAGGTTGTTTAGGCTTTTTTAGGTTTATTTGAAGCTTATATTGGGGTTGAAGTGCGGGGGAGGGGGGTTGAAGTTTGGGGGTTAGAGGTGAATTGAGAGTTTAGGATTTATGGTCAAGACTTGTGGGGTTTAGGGTTTAGGGTTTAGGAGTCAGGGTTTATGGGATCTAGGGACTACCTTATTGCAAGTAAAGTTTCGAGTCTAGGGTTTAAAAGTTTGGGGTGTATCGAGTCTTAAATTTAGGGTGTAGGGTTCAAATTTCAAGGTTTAGTGAGTCAGTTTACAAGCGCGGCATGTAAAGCCTTGGGGATCCGAGTGCATGTTCGAATATTCACTCAACGTTATCTCTATCTCGTGCGGAACCCTCCTTCCAAATGAGGTGTTTTCTGGGCTATTATTAATTATTAAGCAACAGTTACATACATGGGTGCAAGCATATTCAGGACACCCCTTAGATATGGTGATCTCTCCAAATATGATTAAGGGATCATAGGGATGTCCATTAAGGCTTGTGTAGGGTAAACTGGAGAGCTCGCAAATCATAACTGAACAAATAAAGTTGAATAGAAGGCCCAATATAGAAAGCAACATGTTACGAAAGGGAGACCCACAGGTCTACCGGCCTAAGCCCCAAACCCCAAGACTCTACACACCAAACTGGCGCGAAACCCTAAATCCCAAACCCTAAGCCCTGAACCCTAACCCGTAACATACAGTTCAACTTCTTCTTTCGCAGCATATCAAGGAAGCCCGAAGGGAACCTCATCTATGCTGGCCCCATGCTAGGAGATTGTATAGCACGGGAGTCATAGAGTCTCACGGGAGGGCCGGCCCTAAACCCTGAACCAACCCTAAACCCTAAACCCCAAACCCTAAACCCTGAACCCTCAACCTTAAACACCCTAAGCAAGGCAACGTCTCGAACAAGCCGGGCCTCACTTTGGAGAACGCCGGAGACTACCAGCTCGGAGTCAACTTCCTCCCAAGTGATCCCGCAAAGGCAGCGGATTTAGGATTTATGGGTGTGAGGGTCTAGGGATTTAGGGTTTATGGGTTTGTGGGTTTAGAGTTAAAGGTATAGGGTTTATGGGTTTGCGGGTTTAGAGTTTAGAGTTAAGGGTATAGGATTTATGGGTGTTTGCGGGTTTAGAGTTTAGACTTAAGGGTATAGGGTTTATGGGTTTGCGGGTTTAGAGTTTAGAGTTAAGGGTATAGAATTTATGGGTTTAGGGCTTAGAGTTTCAGAGTTTAGGGTTTATGTGTTTGGGGTGTAGGGTTTAGGGTTGAGAGTGCTTTATTTGGCGATACTGTAGTCCCTGAAATTAGACAGTGTGGAATTTGTATATAGTCGCATTGGGTTCAACCACAAAACAAATCTATTCATGTGAGGAATGAGGGATGGGGTTTGGTCAGGGTTTAGGGGTGCGGTTTTGGGGAGTGCACCTTTCACCTATGGCTTTCGTGCGCGTATAGATTTCCCTGAAAGTTCACGAGTACATATCATATTATATATATATATGTATATATGAGCTGTAGTCTAAACTCCTTGCAGGAGGTTATGCAGGGGATGATATAGGGGAGTATTATAGTGCTTATTAAGGGGATACTAGGAGTTCAGACTACAGCTCATATACAGAGGGTGTCCAGCTGGACCTTATACAGGAATATACGGGCATGAGATCTGTACCTACGTGGTGTCCAATTTTTTGCACCTGGGGGGCCAAAATGTTGACAAAGCCACCTAAGGATATGTGGGTACTTAAACCCTAAACCCTATAAACCTTATGTCCTGGGAATTCCAGTAGTAAGGGGGATCCCAGGTGCTGCAAGAGTTCCTCCATCAGCCAAACCCCACAACCCTGACCCTACACCCGAAACTTACCAAAGGTTAGTAGGCAATAAAGGAATTTAATCCCTGCAAAATCCTTTCATAGTAAATTCCCTTCTTCCCTACAACCCCTAAACCCCATATTTTCCCCTACTCACTACCAACCCTGAACCCTAAACCCTATGTATTCCCCTACTCCCCTAAACCCTAAGCCCCCAACCCTACAACGCCCCAGTAAGGAAACCGAACATAGAATCAACGTCTACCCGCGCAAGCCCTCACAGGTAAAAGAGATGAAGCTGAAGGAGCTAAAGACGCCAGAACGGCTTGGGGTTTAGGGTTTAGGGTTTCGGGTTTAGGGTTTCGGGTTTAGGGTTTAGGGTTTCGGGTTTAGGGTTTGGGGTTTCGGGTTTATGGTTTAGGGTTGAGGGTTTCGGGTTCAGGGTTTGGGGTTAAGGGTTTAGGGTTTACACCTTCAAGCGTCGCGCCTCGACCCAAGAGGTCGTGGGCGGCGCGCCGCGCTGAAGCTAAACTCCCACCCCGGGACCACCCAATCATTATTCTTTTAGGGTTTAGGGTTTTTTGATGGTTGCTTGGGTCTTCTTTTGCTTTGGGCTCTTCTTGTACCGTATATCTGTTACAGCGCTAAAGATGCGAGTATGACCTAACACATGCATGCCTCTACCTGAAGAGCTTCCGGAATATAGTCCCCACATCGCGCACGGGGCTGCGGCGCCATCGCTCGCAGCCGCGGCGGCTTCGCTTGCTGCAGCTGCGCTCTAAGACCCCGCCTTTATTTTTTGGAAGCTTTACGAGACCCTGAGAATTGTTAAAAGCACACCTGTAATGGGCGAGGGCGCGAAGGCCTGAAAGGATTCTGGGAGCCCGCTGAAAAGGGAGGTCCTGGGAGGCCCCCGCAAGATCCCCGAGAGGCCCCGAAATCCTAAACCAGAAGGGCCGGGGGCGCTAAATCCCTGGAACCCGAAATCCTACATCCTAAAGGCCTGGAACCCTAAATCCTAAACCCTAAAGGCCCGGAACCCTAAATCCTAAACCCTAAAGGCCTGGAACCCTAAATCCTAGATCTTAAAGGCCTGGAACCCTAAATCCTAAACCCTAAAGGCCCGGAACCCTAAATCCTAAACCCGAAAGGTCCGGAACGCTAAATCCTAAACCCTAAACCCTAAAGGCCCGGAACCCTAAATCCTAAACCCTAAAGGCCCGGAACCCTAAATCCTAAATCTTAAAGGCCTGGAACCCTAAATCCTAAACCCTAAAGGCCCGGAACCCTAAATCCTAGATCTTAAAGGCCTGGAACCCTAAATCCTAAACCCTAAAGGCCTGGAACCCTAAATCCTAAACCCTAGAGGCCCGGAACGCTAAATCCTAAACCCTAAAGGCCCGGAACCCTAAATCCTAAATCCTAAAGGCCTGGAACCCTAAATCCTAAATGCCCGGAACCGTAAATCCTAAACCGCCCGGAACCCTAAATCCTAAACCCTAAAGGCCTGGAACCCTAAATCCTACATCCTAAAGGCCTGGAAACCTAAATCCTAAACCCTAAAGGCCCGAAACCCTAAATCCTAAACCCTAAATGCCCGAACCCTAAATCCTAAACCCTAAAGGCCCGGAACCGTAAATCCTAAACCCGGCCCCGGGGGCTCCTGAAACCCCCTTGGAAGGCCCTTAAGAAGGCCTTTGAAAGGCCCCTTAGAGGCCGGAACGAGTGTTTGAATTTGCTCCGCGTGTTTTCTTGTTCTGTGTGTTTTTTCTGTTTT